GTGTTCATCCAGCTCTACACCTTGTTATCTCAGCATCTACCAGCCTTCCTAGTTGTTGTTGTACCTGCATACTAACCTTTTGCAATTTATGCATAAGGACATCCAAGGTCCCTCTGCACCTTGGAGCTCCACAATCTTTTCCTTTTTAGATAACATGCTTCCTTTAATACTTTTCCCGCCAAAATCATCAATTTTGTATGTTCCCATATTATGCTTTATTTGCCACATCTTTGCCCACTCAATATATATTATCTTTCTGTAACCTTGTGTCATCTTCACAACTTACGTCCCCATCTATGTTCATGCCATTTGCAAATTTGGCAACTGTAGCTTCCATCCCTTCATCCAAGTCATTTATATAAACTGTAAACAGTTGAGGACCCAGCACCAATCCCTGTGGCAAATCACTCACTACATCTTGCTAACTTGAAAAAGACCCATTTACAAAGACATTCTACGTCCTGTTAGCCAGCCAAACCTCTTTCTGTGCGAAAATGCTATCTCCTCCACCAAGAGTTTTTATTTTTCTTTGATGTAACCCTAACCCTAACCCTAACCTTATCAAATGCCTTCTGGAAATCCAAGTACAGCACATCCATTGATTCCCCTCTATCCATTGAATATGGATAGTCGCACAAAAGACTCCAATAGTTTAATTAAGCACAACTTCTCTTTTAGAAAAACATGTCAACTCTGCCAAACTACTTCAAACTTATCTAACTTTGCTGATTTAATTACTTTAATAAAGCTTCTAACATTTCCCTATGACAGCTGTTAAGCTAACCAACCTGCTGTTTCCTGCTTTCGGTCTTCCTCCCTTTTTAAACAAAGCAGTTACATTTGCTATCTTCCAAACTAATGGGGCTGTCCTTGAATCAAGCCACACCTTTCAATACCCTTAGGATGAAGCCCATCAGGACCCTAGCAAAGCAGGAAGCTAGTAAATGGCACATTATTTAAGAAGAGAGTGAGAGAGAAAGCAGGGAACTAGTGAATCTGTTAGCCTCACATTACCAGAAGGGAGAAATCAATAAAAGGGAATTGAACCTGCATTGTTAGCGTGATTGTTAGTGCAAACCACCCATCTAAACAAATGAACTAACATACCTGCTGCTGTGGACGTAAACACCTTAGAACGGTAAAGATTCTAAACTTGATTCATTTTGAAATCTTCGAATCAATAAACTGAGGAAACTTTGATACTCAATCTGAGTTGGAATCAGATGGCCTTAAAAAATATTTTCTTTCCTAACCATCTCTCTTTATCACTTAAAAATCCAGGGAGAAAGTAGCAAATGAACAAAATCCTGGTGCAGAAGCCAGCACCATTTCACTGCTCAATCTGATTTACCCTGTTCTGCCGGCTTCCAGTCTGCACCACTGTATTGCATTGTGACTAAGAAAGAGAAGTCAACAGTTGTGAGTCGATATCCACATCCCACAGTGCAGCAGAAAATACCGCAAAGTTGTGCTGCTCTCCTCAAAATTCACTTGGAAAATACATTATTTTTTCTTTAAGATGAAAGAATAATTTGTTGCTCCCACAGCCTCAATCATCAACAGACGGTCCTAAAGTGGTAGAGAGAGGGATTTAGGACTACATCACTGGACAGTCTTTCAGTTACTTGTTGCTAGAAAACTTCAGAACAGAGATCCTTTTATTTCACAAATCAGACTGCAAGGAAAATAACTAACTCAGAAAAAAGTCCAAGTCCAAGGCTGCAACTTACACTATCCACAGCATGACCAAACAACTATTCCTGATTAAAGCTCATACGCCAATGCCATAGGCATCTCCTAACTCAGCACTGCTTTGTGCTGTAATTTCACTTTTGAATCAAGCAACTTGATGCTGACCTACCTCTTCGACCAACAGCTCCAATATCTCACAAGTGTCGGGTTTCAAAGTTTTGTATGATAACATTCCTGTGAAGCGCAAAAGGACATCTTAATGCAGCAGCAATTGTGCTTCTGTTTGTCCACATGAAAGAAAAACTGTAATTCTGGCAGAAACAGAACTATGTACACTATTGAAGATTGCTTCCATGACTTTATGGTGACTGGAAGGAGACTAATTGGGCAGTAATTGGCACTTTGCAAGTCATTCTTCTCATTAATTTATCCATTGTGATTGAAGTATCTGTTAATTTCCTTCCTTCCTTCCTCTTTTCTCTAGTTTTCCCAACCTTACTAAAATCTTTTCTTATCGAGTAGTTTTAGGTTTTGATCAGGTACATGCATCCGAAATATTAAGATCCTCTCTGATAATGATGAACTTCTTGCATATCATCAGCATTTCCAGTTTCTGCTTCACAACAGATGGAGACAAGTTATTTCCTGAAACATAATCAGTAACCAGATTTTCTGGAGCATCAGAAGAAACAAATGGGCAAAGCTAAGAAAGATCAATTCCCAAT